TTGAGTTATATAACTTTATTTCAAAAGGGCAGGCTGAAATGAAAAAGATGACGTATAGAAAAGCGTATAATTCATGTTCAGTTTGTTACTTTGACTTTTTATTCCATTTACTAGGAAAAATCATAAAGAACGTATAAATTTAAGCAATTTTGTATATTGTAACAGAAAATCATCTTGTCTAACCGAAAAAACCCAACAACAAAATCCAGGATTTAGGTATGGAATTTAATAAACAGAGTAAACTGATAACATCACTCTGTTGTTTTCTATTTCGTTCGAGGATATTAAGACGTTGCGATATTGAAAACATTTTCAACTTTCATGACTTTTCGTTACACTTCCTTGTCAACCTGTAAGTTGTAATTAAGATATTCTTTGAGGTGCGTTAATACGAAAGGAAGTTACTTGTTTTACGGTTTTTGTCTATATGCCATCATAAATTGCTCTTCAAGTATTTGCCGCAACATAAAATCACATTAGTTTACCTCTTTAGATTAATTACAATAAAGAACCAACATTATAATGATGAGGTAGCAAAATACATAATGTTTATATATATTGAGTTATTTTATCAGTTTCACTTGTAAATACAAGTGGGATACTCCATCTAGTTTGCAATATAAAACTCATTTGTCATCAATGTGAATTTGCGAATAACATTTTATGTCTAAAACTATATCACACGCGGTACTGTATGTAATACAAATGAAGGCAAACCTTGTAGAGTCATTGAGAGTCACATGGTGATAATGCTATATCACACATGGTATTTTATGTAACACAAGTGAGAATGAATAGAATATAGTCACTGAATGCCCCCAGTAGCATAGTGGTATGTCTGCGGACTTACAACGCTAGAAACCGGGTTTCGATACCCGTGATGAGCAGAGCACAGATAGCCCATTGTGTAGCTTTGTGCATAAATTCAAACAAACAAACATTCACTGAAAGTCACATGGTGATAACGCTATATCACACATGGTATTTTATGTAACACAAGTGAGAATGAATAGAATACATTCACTGAAAGTCACATGGTGATAACGCTATATCACACACGGTATTTTATATAACACAAGTGAGAATGGATAGTATACATTCACTTAAAGTCACATGGTGATAACGCTATATCCCACACGGTATTTTATATAACACAAGTGAGAATGGATAGTATACATTCACTGAAAGTCACATGGTGATAACGCTATATCACACACGGTATTTTATATAACACAAGTGAGAATGGATAGTATACATTCACTGAAAGTCACATGGTGATAACGCTATATCACACACGGTATTTTATATAACACAAGTGAGAATGGATA